GGGTTGTAAGCCTCAGCGGTGCGCAGACGTCTGTTTCCATCGAAGCCACCAACCTAAAAGTAAATGCATGGGTGAAATGACTGACTGTAGTTGAAACCAGTTTCACAGCACCCTTGTAAGGATGTGCACCTGCTATACTTCTTAAGCTGTTTTTCGCACAGATACTTCAGAAAGTGACTGTAAGAATTAAGTTGCAATACTATCCAAAGTTGCCTTTAATATGTAGCAGACACAATCAGATGCTGCTTTAGGTGTGGTCTGACTACTGGAATTACTCTGATTTGTTTAGGGTTTTACCTGGATAAAGCGAAAAGTTACCCGACATACTCTGGTGCCGTTATATGGAGTTTACACATCAAATTTGTTTAAAAAAATAAGGCTCATTAATGTTCCACTATTTGAATTCTCCCAGGTCCCTCTGTTTGGGAATGTCAAGAAAAGATCAGGATGTAGCGGCTGTGTGAAAATGACTTGTGAGTTAAAAAGAAAAAGTAAAATAAAGTAAAAGTGGGCTGTTTTGGAAGTCTTTATGACTCGGAAGGTTAGTGGTTTGATCCCTGGCTCCTCCAGTCTGCATGTGAAGAGTGTGAATGTGTATGAATGTAGTTAGGAACCACTCAGTTCAGAGAAAGTGTGTGATTGGGAGAATGTGGCAGGTTGTATAGAGCACTTTGAGTAATCCGGGAGAGTAGAGAGTAGAAAAGCGCCATATCACCTCAAATTGTTCTGGGCCAGCAAAGGGCCAGCAGTGTATCTACAACTGGCCTTGTGCTGGCCCATGTGTGGGCCACGTCTGGCAAACCAGATCTGGGCCACTAAAGGGCCGTCATTCTTTGCGGTATGTGGGCCATGTGAAAGCACATTGTGTGGGCCAGATCCGGGCCATACCAATTTTGCTGTGTGGGTTTCACATGCGAGATGTGAAATCATTAGTGAAATCATCAACATTTTAAGAATGGGGCACATTTACATCGTGAAATGAAAAAAATACATGAAGGATAGGAATCTGATAATTGATAAATACAAAACAAAGTTGGCAATTTTTTTTTTAACCCAAACTGTCAGCCTTGCTGATCAAGGCACATTACAGATGTGACTTGTATGTTACGTAAGTGTCAGCACTACTTTCTGGTCTTACTGCAAAGACATGATCCGCATATGCAATGACACCTATCCCTCTGCGGCGGCTGTTCATGGGACTGATCATCGTCCACTGGTCAGTCTCTGGGTTGTAACATTCAGCTGTCTGCAGACACTCGTTCCCATTGAATCCACCACAAATGTAAATCTGAAGACAAAAAAAGCGACATTCTGTAATTTTTACATTTCTTAGATTTCATTTGGAAACAATGTTGCCTGTAAGGGAAATGTTCCCACCTCATTTTTGAAGTAAAACTGATATTCAGTACTTTAGAGTCCAACTAAAAAATAAAATTATAATTGTTTCAAGGATAAAGAAATATTATACTTTTTTAACACACACCCATATGAAGGAAATTCATTAAAATTCAATTTCATTTAAAAATAATATATATACATATATGTATATGTATATATTAGTATATTTTTCAACTTTTAAAGTTGCATGCTATTATATTCTGTGAACTTAAAAGCTTTTTGAAAATCTTTTTCTTTTACATGATCAACATAACAATGAACACTATAAATTCTTCTGATACAGACTGACATTTAGACATTTAGTCCCTGCCTTTCAAAAATAAAAAAAGCGAATTCTTTTAATGACTTTTGTTTTCCTTATCATCACTATTACGGGCATACAGGTAGTTTTACAGGTGTAGTTTTGTTCAATTTAGGCCTTCGTCACTCTAGCTTAGAAACCAATTTGTGAGGTACCTTGCACCTCGCTTCACTGTAAAAAATGTGTATCCCCTGACTGGTTGGGAAGTGGTACCTGGAGGTTGATGGGTGTCACTAGTGTGAAATTGAAGAAAGGTGTTGCACCACAAACCTCCTTGTGTTTGCTTTGGTCATTAGCAGACTGTTGAGCACACCAGAGGTTTGCATGGAATACTCTGACTTGTCTGCAAACACTCACAAACTATTTGTAGAAGTCAGTGTCTTTCATACAACCACTCCCTAACCAGCCGAGGAATACATATTTTTCACTAGCAACTGGTTGTTACCAAAAGGTTGCTGACAGGTCTCTAGGCCTGTGTGCCTGAGACCCTACTCTATTTCTCTCCTGCTCTTTTACTTTACCCACCCGGCTGTGAAGTGTTGTGCAGCTGGCATCGCTCCTCTGTTCATGCATGGATGCAATAAGACTCCACTGGTTGGTTTCAGGTTGATAGCGCTCTGCACTGCTGAGTCGTACATGCCCGTCGTAGCCTCCCATGGCATAGATGAACCCGTTCAACACAGTCACGCTCACATAGCAGCGGCGGCAGTACATGGGTGCCACCTCATTCCAGGTGCGAGTGGTCAGGTCAAACCTACAGACGCTGTTGAAATGCTCCACCCTGTCGAAGCCACCAATGGAGTAGACGTACCCGTTGAGGAAGGCGGCTCCATGATAGGCACGAGGATGCTCCAGGTTGTTTGTTACATTGACCCAGCATTCAGCCCGATAATCATAGGCCTCGATGGCGTTAGTTGGATCACGGTCACTCCATCCCCCAATGGCCAGCAGGACGGAATGAGGCAGGCGGGGACGAGCAAGATGGGGACAGAGGCGAAACACATAGGGTCTGTTGGTCATATTTTGTGGTAATGGGGCGGGGGGGGGGGGGGGGGGGGGGTGGGGGGGGGGTGGGGGGGGGGGGGGGGCAGGGGGGCCCAGCCCTGGAGCAGGGTGCCGCCGGTGCATCGAGCCACCTGGGGGGTTATCATGGACAGACGGTCAGAACTGGTCTGCACCAACTGATTGAGCCGCACATTGTCCCTTAGGTAGTCTAAAGTCACCAGTCCCAGTCGGACCTACAGAGAGATGACAGAAGACAATAGGACTTAGACAATGGAAACATTGAATTTGAACTATATCAGTTTTAGTCAACTCAAGCTTCTTTAGGATAATGCTCGTAATGTTGTTTAATCTTCTTATTGCTAGCAAGAGGGAGACCAAAGTGAGACACCATTAGCCTTTTTGTCAACATATACAAAAGTCCTTTGTACAGTTCAGATGAAGATAAATTTTAAATCTAATGTGTTAAGTTTAACTTTGTTAATGGAAAATTGTATTTAGTAGTCAGTATAATCTTTTAGTGATATAAGTTTGCTTATGGTAGGATGCTGTTTGTAGTTATTTGTATTAGGAAATGTTTAACCAATCAATTGTGTAGTGACAGGATGTGTGATTTTTAGCAGGCTTGGTTCACCCCCACATCCTGGGAGCATGAGAGGTCGTACCTTGTTTTATTGTTTTAACGTAGCTATGTCTGTTTTAGTCTAAGTGCTTTAACTGCTGGACTTCCTCACCGTGCCATCTAGGGTGGGGGAGACTACCCTCTTTATGACCAAGGATGTACCTTTTGTGCCTTCATGTTATATGACCCTTTGATCAGCAGAACACACACACACACACACCACACACACACACACACACACACACACACACACACACACACACACACACACACACACACACACACACACACACACACACCACTGAAGTATAAATAAAGACCAGGGCAAAGCTCAGCGCGAGTCTCTGAGACTGCCCTTGCTAGCAAGAACTCTGTGTGTTTCTCTTCTCTGAGTCTTTACTGAAGAAGTGTTTTAGAATATTTTCCCTAACAAACTTTATATAAAAAACAAATGACATAAACTAAAATAAAGCTGCGGAACACAAACAGGGGAGAATGGTTGTACTTGTTACGGACAGTTTTTAGTCATAGGCCTAGCAACTACACTAAATAAATACAATTTATTCTATAATATGTGTGAAGCTTTCTGATACGGTTTTAATGATCTTGAAGAGAATTGCTTAAATGTGGTTTGGCTACAGCTGAAAAGAGCAACAGCTGGAGATAATAAAACATCCTTATACCCAGATGGATTGACTCAATCTATGACTTAAATGCTGAAGATTTAAGTCGAAACTAAATGTAGTAATGGAAGTTTATACACCTTAGACAACAGAGCGATGAGGTGTTGTTCCCGTTCTGCAGGCACATGGCTAATCCACTTTATAAGTGCTTCGTACGCAGTGCTCTCACACTGTACATTGAGGTCATCTCTTTCAAGAATATCACCAAGTTCCTCCACAGTTAGCTGCAGGAACTCCTCCTGAAGAACCACCTGCTCAAAGTTACTGATGATGTAGTGGAAGGCCTTGGCACGTAGTTCGGGTGATAAGTGTACTTTTGTGAACTGCCAAATGCCAACACAGTTCTCTGCGCAGAGTTGCTCCCCCACGAAGTCACTGCAGATTTTTACAATGTCCATTACATTGAGTTGATCAGCTGCCATGAGAAGTTCCACTGCGTTTTCCTCCGTTACAGAAACACTGCCAGTGTATGCAAAGTCAATGATGAGTGCCATCATCTCAGGAGACAAGCCAGGTATGTTGAAGACCTGTTTGTCTGGGTCGCTCCAAGAGGTGAAGAGAGCTCTGAGGGTAGAGATGGACACGGAGCAGAATTCT